GACAGAAATGTTCGTCAAACAGCTACATGACTGCCCGAAGTCGAATAGTGCCAGTCAGGAGAGGTGATCTCATTTGTTGTTATGTATTCCTTGGAATCCAGATGTGCTTGACTTAGAAGAAGTCAGAGGCATCGAAGCAGGAGAGAGGGTAAGCTTTAGGTGACTACTTTAGATATTTACTTCTCTAATAAGTCTGGGAAAATACACTTCTTGCAACCCGACCATAAGAAGAAATGCTCCCATCGGAGTGAGCCTAGGTACGTACTGATCCATTTTTTAGGGAATGAATTCGATGTTTCCAAAGATCGCCAAGTACTCGAGCTGAACGAAGGAAAAGCCAGTGTTTCTTAAGCTGAGGGTGGGGCGAATCGCGGAAGTCTAAACCGCAATGGTTACGAATACCTCGCTAAACACAGATTCAAGAGCTACAGTAGGAGCAAAAATTGCAGTCTTTTGCATTTTTGGGTCATATAGGTAATTTTACCTGAAAATAGCTCCATACCACATAATCGGCATGTTAATCTAATGTATTTTTTACCCGCTACTCAATATTTGACCTACAGGACAGTTTACTGACTAGAACTATGCCAAAACATTTGACTTTATCCGATATTCGAAGAGCTTCATAGCTGCTGTTGAACAAGGTACATAGGTCTCATGTATTCCGGAGCTTGTAGAAAAGAGTTGATAGAACGCCCTTATATATATATATATATATATATATATATATATATTATTTTAGCAGAATCAGCGTATAATGCACCGTCATAGATCAATGTGTATAGTTAAGTTCGCTTAGAGCTTGAGGGCACGTTTACACACTGCAGTTTAGCGCCACATTATATTCGTCCTTTCTTAGTGCTACTTGGTTGCAAATGCTTTAAGCTCCTATTTACATCTGTACATACTGATATACAATTATATACTCATGTACATGAATCCTATTGTTTATGACAATTTGTAAACTATGCCATCATTGTTTGCAAAGCTTTTTATGCCAACATTTCAGCAGGTGCAACACAGACAGACAATAAAATAAAATATAAACAATCGCAACAAAGTAAGGCAACAAGTACAGTTGAAATGGTTTGCCACCAGCAGCTGCCCGTTGCCAACATTTAACACAACAACACTCGGCAAGTTTTATATTTACTTTGTTAGTAATTTGATAGCTTGTTATATTGTTGTTGTTGGTCGCACACCATAAGCACAAATAACAAATAAAGAGTTGCAAATACATACATACGTACGTCGTGTCAACCGTTCATTATCCGGTTTGCTTTTATCTTTCTTAGTGCGCATTATTACTGCTGTCCAACCAGCAAACAAACCAACTACTAAGTCATTACTTCTTACATCAGCTTGCAAGTTTGTCAGTCTGTCAGCTATTTAGTTTGCCGCTTGGCGCTTTCATTCGCTGCTACTTTATTAAATACCATGAAAAATGTGATTTTTCAGTCTGTTGCATATTTCCGTTTCCGCTTTCGTTACATCGCGCGTACAATTCGCATTCCGCACATTAACCTGAACTTGTTGGTGGTTTTTGTTTTTTTTTGTTGTACCCAACTTCCCGGTAGCTGTTGCCGTCATTGTTGTCAACGTCATTGTTTTAGCCGCTGAGCACCTTTATTCCAATTTTATTTTTATTTTTATTTTTTTTCATTTCGAATCCTTTGTCTTATTGTTGCTTTGTTTCTGTGTCACTTGGTTGCAAGGTAACTGCTTGTCTGCTCGTTGTTTTGCGACTGACGGTACTAAAATATTTTTCTTTCATCCGCTTTTGTTCACTTAGCTGCTTTAGCGCGCATCTACTGTCCGTCAGTAGCTTTCTCGTAGCTCTGCTAATGCCCATTGTTGTCTCGAGCTACACATAAAATTGGATCATTATGCGATTGTTGGACTTCTATGTGTACATAATTACAAACATATTTTCCGATTACAAAAGTGCGCATGTTTTCCTTATTGACTTCGATGCCGTTATATTTCAACATAAGGCAGTTGGTATTCGAGTTCAAATCGTTGATTCCTTTTAGTTAATAAACCACATTCCCCTGGACGCCAATCAAAATCTATATAAATAGTTACGCATATGAGCCGTTTATTTTGAAAGTGGCATAAGTCACCTTTGCAAAAAATCGAGTTAGTGATAACACCAATTAGAATTTAACGGTATCTGTTAATAAAAAAAAATTGAATTGAAATGTCGATAGCTACTGAGGTTTTGTTCAAGAGAAGTTTTACTAATCAGCGGTATACCGAAAATATTTATTTTGAAAGTGGCATAAGTCACTCAAAAAAATCAAGTTAATGATAACATGGATTACACCGAGCAAAAGTAAAAATTTTTCCCAAAAAAATATATACTCCCAAAAGTAGAGGCCAAACATAGGAAAACTTCGTTTATAGCTTCCTACTCTGGCGTCAGAATTTTTTTTAAGGACCTTGAAAGTTTAGATATTTGATTATTTCCAACAATTATTTAAAAAATGTAATGCTATATGAATAACAATATGAGCACCAAATAAAAGATAAAATTCTGTAGAATTGAAAAATATTAAAGTTTTGGTGCATAGGGATGAATAGGTATTGAAAATGTCCTTTTGCAATTTTGTACTTGAGTATCCTTGCAAATTTGCGGTATTTATCTTTTGAAAAAATAATAGGTCACGAATTTCGTCCTTCTAATTTAATAGCGTAAAAATAGAAACATTTAAAAAGGCATTTTCAATATCAATTCGTCCTTGGGAACCACAAAGATTTAATGCTTTTTAATTCTGTAGAATTTTATCTTTTTTTTTGGTACCCATACATACGGTGACCATTCGTACCGATTTTGGCGGGACAGCACCGATTTTGAGAAAATTGTCCCGCTGAATATTTTTAAAAATTCGGGATGTAAAAATAATACCGAAGATTGAAAAGAATTAACAAAATAGTTATTTTTTACCACGTTTATATCAGCTCGCTTTCTTGTCTGCCCACATTCCAGTACACACCTAGCAAAGCACATGAACAGAACTATGCTAGAAAAGCACCCCCTAGGATTTTTCAATTGATATGTGTATACAAGTTGTTGGGCGGCTTTGTGTTAAATATGCGCATTATTATTACTGCGCCTAAAAATATGCAGCAAATTAATTGATTCTAAGCAATGGTAAGGATAAGGCCGCACAAAGCGTTTGTTTTTTTTGATTTCGTTGATTTAGATAGTAGGTTAGTTCAACACGAACCCGCGGGTGCTCACCTATTTATTCAATCAGTAATATTCTCACTGAACCACTTACGCGTTAGATCTCTCACTCACTCATTCACCCACTCACTTCGCTTCCCACATACTAACTAGCTTACTCTCGCTCTCAATCACTTACTATCTCACTCACTAACTCTCCAAATCATTCACTGTGCTACTCCCTCACCTGTTGACCCAATCATACATTTGCTCTATTATTCACTCATCATCTCATTAATTTCTCTCTAAAAAACTTTCACAATTTCTGCCAAAACTCACTCACTTAATCTATCACTCATTCACTTACTATATACTTCAATATATCACTCAGTTACTCAAATAATCCGTCACTCAATTAATATCTTATTTACTCCGCCAATCTCTCTCTCCTTTGCTCGAGTAAGCATATCTTTGTGACCTTTTGCCACTTTAATAAAATTAAATATATTTTAGCATATACATATATTGTCATTAAAATACTTAGAACTTAGAACTAAGATATTTGCTTTTTTATAAATTCGAACGAATTTTCAATGTGAGCTAGGCCATGTATAAAACTATTTATCTTAATTAGAAAAATGGAAATGGTAGGCAAAACAAATTTTTTTAGGGTTTTCCTTCTTTTTAATCATTCAAAATTTATATGCCCATATCTTTATTAAAAATCGTTTTTTCAAAAAAAGGAAAAATACGTATCCTCTCATTTTTCTTGTAGAATAACATTCATCATCAAGCAAATCTACGTTGTGAAGTTGTCAGCCTGCCTGATTTGAGATGGGTTTGGCCAGTAGAAAATTCCATGAGCTTTCAGGCAGTTCTAAATTTATTTTTTTTAACAAAACTCTAAGCGACGAGAGCTGAAAATTATAAACTTTTTGTTCCCGCATATAGTTTTGGACCGTCCTAATGTACATACGTACACGCCTGAACTTGTAGTTATGTGCACACGGCTGCGCTTCCGTTATCTTATCTCAGCTGTCAAAGCGTTCATTGTTAAGGCTAACAGCTCAACTGTTCTACTTCGCTTTGACATTTCGCCAGAGTTTAGTTTGGCCAAACGCGCGACTTAGACACATGAAAAGCGACAACAGCAACAACAGCCACAACAACATAAACAGCCAGCCATAGCCTAACAACACACTCGGGTGATAATTTTAATTCATATCAACATACATATTTACACATTCGATACCGGTTTGACATTGATATACGACGAGTATGGAGCTTCCCAATTTGTGTTGCCGCCTTGTGCAACTGCGAAAAAAAGTGTTAAACATACAGCAAACTAAAAAGTTGAAAAAACTAAAATTAAACAAAAAGTAAACAAATGAAAAATTGGAAATTGAACTAGAAAATTTATGAGCGATTCGGCAAACGAGGTGTAGCGCTAGTTTGAGAGAACGATGAAGTCAGTTGCTGGCTTGCGATTACATCCGCAGGTTGCCGGAACGTCGAGTAGACGACTATTTTCGTTTTCAATTAAAGTAAAATTGTTGTTACTTCATTTCATGGGAGTGCGCGCGGAGTGTTTTGGAAACAGTTGACAATGTGCGCGTGATGAAGGCTAAGACGCGACGCTGGCCACCTATGCTGATACTTACCACCGCGTCACTATTGCTGGCGTGCCTATTCTGCGGCTTGCAGTTCATCGAGTACGAATATGCGGATTTTGACAGCAGAGCAGAGCAGACGCAAGTGAATATTTAGAGACTAGTAGTTTTAAAAAAGAAAAGCGCCGACTCAAATTTAACGTCACAAAATTTAATTTATTCACACGCAGGTGTTTCCCGCCGCTGTGGTGCGTGTGCGCGTTTCCGATGCATTAGCGGTGCGTGAGTTCATTGCTGCAGCGCCAAATAGCGCGCCGGCGCACCCTTGGGAGTTTTATCAATACAATGTGCGACGCAGCAATGCAATTGGCGCCTTTCGCGCCTTACCCGACACACGTGACACCAGGTGTGTTCACTCACACATGCACACCCAACAGCAACAACGCTCACTAAACGCCCCTCATCCCTCTTTTGCTTCATTGCAGTTGCACCACACGCCGATACCACCTGACTGCTGCTCAGCTCGTGCGCTCACGCGTCTCCATAATCATTGCCTTTCATAACGAAGCGCGCTCCGCCCTCATACGTACCATTATGACGCTGTATCTGCGCACACCACCCCGCCATCTATACGAGTTGATACTGATCGATGACTGCAGTGAAGATAGTGCGTATACGCCCTGGCAACGCGTGTACATAAATGCCAATGTCGCATTGGCGCTATTTTGATTGAAATCACGCGCGTATTTGCAAATTTACTTGAAATTCCACAAGAAAAAAAAAACCAACAGCAACGCATTAGTTTATTTTCTTTTCCATTTTTCGTTCCATAGTTGAATTGTTGCCTGCACTGCTTCGCCTCCAGCTGCCACCATTTATGCGCGATTTTTCATCCTCAGCGACCGCGAAATCTTCTCGCACGCACACCAGGTCAGCGCCGTCTGCCGCCTCACCGCAAGTTACAATTAAAACAGCGCGTAATAAGCAGCGCTCGGGTGTGATTGCATCACGTAATCGTGGCGCCCGTCTTGCCACCGGCGACTATTTACTCTTTCTCGACAGTCATTGTGAGGTTAATATTGGTTGGCTGGAGCCACTGCTGGTGCGCGCGGCTGAGGCCGCCGGCGATGGCGTGATTGCCGTCAGTCCCGTGCTGGACGGCATTGATGCCGAGTCATTGGCGTATACGGCGAGTTCCAACAATCTCATGGGTGGTTTCGATTGGAATTTACATTTTCATTGGATACCGCGACCACAATCAATACAATCACTGCAACAACAACAGCGACCACAACATTTCGCTCAAAATGTCAACGCAAAAACCGCATATTTACGAGATTCTGGTTGGGAGGACAAGCTATTCGGTGAAGCGCGAATGCGACGCAACACAAATACCGCCGCAATGGCATTCAAGTAATTTTCCCTCACCACTCATCTCATACTTTGCGAACTTTCAAAAAAAAAAGTCACCTATTTACCAGTATTTTATAGGGCTGCTTTCCGTTGTGTTGATTTCTAATTTTACCACATTTTAACAGATATTTCTTAAATTTGTAGTAAATGAGCGAGTACCAAAGCTACCAGACGGCATAAACGAAATTTAATCTCGGCTCTGCGCTATTAAATTATGCTGAATTTGTGATGTTAGTTTTTTTCGATTTTGTGTGGTTAGTTAGTTTAACTGCACGCTGTATTGTGCCTCCGGGATATTTAAAATAGCTTTCGGTTGGTATCGTGCGTTGACTGTGAAATCTGAATCTTTTTTTTTACTAGTCAATAGCTTATCTTTGTTCGTACATTTGTATACAGATATTGGGAATATGTAGATGAAGAATATGATAAACATAAAAGTAAAAACAAAGATAAATATAAAGAAAGATATGAGGAAGAGGATACCGATAAAATTAAAAATGAAGATAGAGGAAGAAAGATTAAAATAAAAGTAGTTATAGAGAAATAAATATAAACAGAGACTCAATCTGGGGACTATTTCGGGATTTTAGAGATTTTCGGATTTCTCGTGACTTATCGTTATAATAATCGACATTTTATGGGTTTGGTTATCGATATTTTTTATCGATTTTGTTATCGACATTTTTATCGATATTGTTACTGATTTTGCCATCAATATTTTCGGAACTTATCGATATAATAAACGATATTTGTATCGATATTTTAATCGATTTTGTTATCGGTTTTTTTAATAGTTTTAGTAGACTTTGTAATCGATTTTGTTATCGATATTATTATCGCTGAAGCTTGGTCAAACACTAACATATGTGTAAGCGCCAATCTATTATATTATTATCGCCTTTGTTATCGATATTTTTTCTTAGTGTGTGCTTTCATTTTTGACTTGGATGTGCTCTTAGCCATACCACGTATTCTACGTTTAAATTTAGTGGCTGTCTAGATACAGCTTGCAGACCAAGACGAAGGCGCTGCACTGTTCCTTAGTTTAGCTGTCTACGGTTTACGACATAAAACTTTACGACAGAATACAATAACTTGTGAACTCCCTAATTGTCCCTAAAATAACAACCTAATACTGCCACTGCCACTGCTGCATTGTAATTCCACTATTTTTAGCTGCCAACTCATCTACTTTGCCGGCAGTGTATACATTCGCCTTGAGAGTATTTCTATTTTTCTTGTATTACACAAATTAACGTAGCATGAGCGGCATAATTGCGTTTACTTATTATTTATTAAGTACAAAAGTATTTAGGAAAGGGAGGCTGAACAGTTTTAAATAGCTGATAGAAATGTATAGAAAATTCATTTTTATTTTCAATGTACTTCTTATATTTATTATAAAGGGCTTTTAGGGCCCAGTGAAAAAATACTTGCCGTTTTTATCTTCGAACTGCTCGTCTACAGCCACTGAGGATGGTTGATTTCTTCAAATTCAGTCTCAGCCAGGACACGCTTTGGAAATCGCGCACAGATGCATTGTCTTGCAAAAGCAGAACTTCTTTGGCCAGTTTGTCTATGGCATAATAGTCCCCGTATCTCTGCCACTGTCCCGCTCAGACTATGTTGATCAATGATCACGGCGCGCCTGCGAGACTCTAAGCTCTTGCACGAATCGCCGATCCAGCCCTGTTTAACATTACCTGGTCAACTATAGGAGAGTTTTTTTTTTGTTGATTTTGGTTTAGTTTTGTTTTTGTTCACTTCCAAAAGCCGAATGTTAAAAAAGACAAATATGTGTTGATTTTTGAACTCAGCAACCATTTTTAGAGGGGGATTGATAAATTTCGATTTTATTTTTTTAAGCTCATTTTAATTTAGAGGTACTATAAACGTATCTTTGATATAAAAGCAGATGATTTAACATTCTAAGATTTTTTTTTTCTGCGGTAAAATTTTAACTACATTTTAACACACATTTCTTAACCCTCAAGGCATAATAATTATGTATATTATTAATTTCCCTTTACATATTTAATTCACAGAAGCCCCACTGTTGCCGGAGGAATTTTCATGATCACTCGTGATTGGTTTTTTAAATTGAATGGTTTCAATCCATTGCTGGAGGTAATAACTAGTTTTATTTATAGAGTTTCAAGCTGACAGTGACTGGCCCAATTTCTGTTCTACAAACTTTTTTTTTTGTACATACTCGTACATACTTTTATATTTCGCAAATTTTTTGACTGTCGCAAAGCTGTTTTAGCCCCATAAATTAAAATTATTTCTTAAACAAGTATAAGTTTTAATGCACATATTCGTTAACGTTGCCTTCACATAATGAACGAACTCGTAGGCTCAATACAAAATCGATTTTATTTCTCTGTTAGCTTATTTCCACGCTGCCTACGTAACATTCAATGTAACATATTTATACTTACTTAGAGGTATGCACACATATGAACTCCCAAGGCTTGAAATATTTTTCTTCTTTTGTTCGTATGTATGTATATATCTTCAAATGAATGGGCTGCCAATGCACATATGTACATACAAACATTATTTCTCATATCTTCTTTTATTCTTTTTTATAGACTTGGGGTGGCGAGTCCATTGAATTCTCCATTAAATTGTGGCTTTGTGGCGGTCAAATCGAGATTGTGCCATGCAGCCGAGTCGGACATATTTTTCGCAAAGAGCATCCATTTCGTTTTCCCAATGGCAGTGATAGTCAGACAACGTATCTAAGGTAAGCGACGGCCTCGGGAGAAAACCCGTAATTTGAGTAGGCACTGTAGCGATAAGGTTTGAACAAAGAAAATAGGGATTTGCGAAGTGATATGTTTATGTACGTATGTATGTACAGTCGCATATCTATAGCCGATTGTGCATAGAAACTTAAATTCATTTGCACCTAAAAACAATTTAGGAAGTATTAAAGCAATATTCAGCTGGAATGTTCGAATATTCAGACTTTTATTAGAAACAACACCCAAAATGTTTAAACCACTTTCCACTTTCCATTCGACAGGAATTCAAAAATCATCGCCGAGTCTTGGCTGGACGCTTACAAATACTTTTTCTACGCTTCCAAGCCGGCAGCCAAGCATATCTCCGTTAACCAGACCGACATACAGCTCAGCTATCAACTAAAAAGTACACTCAATTGCCGGCCATTCTCCTGGTATTTGCTGCATGTTTTCCCACAACTCAAGTGCGTAAGCCAAATCCTTCTCTCAACACGTCACACTTTAGTACAGATACGAGTATGTATATATATTCGCACAAGCAACACTGTGTTTTCATTTGTTTCAGTAAGCATTGCTCATCACCATTTTCTTCCATCAAAACTCGCCAGTAATCTGCTTTTTCATCTCAATCGTGCTCTATCGATGCGTTTGTGCGCGTGTGTGCTAAAATGTTTGCAAGTTTGCATTTCACTGCTTTCAGGCTGCCCAATGATGACTTCATCGCATTTGGCACTCTAAGCTGCGCCGAGCTTTGCTTGCAAATCACCAATCGTGCCACCAACATCGATATCGACATCGACATTGTCAGTCAAGTGCATATGAGTAGCTGCTTCCATAGTGATGTGACGCATTGGTATCTGCATCGACAACATTCCCAATTGCGTGCGAGTTCCGGTGCGTGTCTCAATGTGGAGCGAATGCCAAATCGCACGAATTGGTGGAGGCGTCCGACTCGCCCATTCAATTTTCGTGTAGTGCTGCAGCCTTGCAGCGATGGTGAGGATGTTGGCGAAAATGTTGGCCATTATCAAAAGCAAAATCAACGTTGGCTTCGACGTGGCGGTTGGCTGGTGCACCAGCAGACGCAACTATGTCTCGATAATCCGCTAAGCGATGTGGTGGTCGTCAGTCATTGCCGTTTTGCAGCACCAACGCAACTGTTTCGTTTCGCCATGGAGCTGCAACGATTGTAGAATGAATGTATGGCGCGCGGCGGGTAAAGAAGGAACGGCACTGAAGTAGGTAGGTGTTCAACCGAAGATCCAAATGTGAATGTTGTTGGAGATGGATATTGACTTGAAATGCAATACGACAACACTGGCACTGCTGCGGATACGAACGTATTTTGATAGATGCAGAAATTAACTAGAAGCTTTGCAAGTCGGATTAAATTTGTATCGATGTGGTTTTAAAGACCAAAGCATAGTTGGACAAAATTAACTTAAGCATTAGATATAAACGAAGTGATCTTATATTTATATTTAGGTATGTAGGTTTAAAAACTAAATCAATAATATGAACAAATGTTGAAACTTAAAATAAATACTAGCTGTACCCTGCCACGTTTTGCTTCGGCATATTCCTGTTATATGGATGATAAATTATTAACGTAACAAGGCATATGTTCTATATGTATTTGGTTATGTAATAAGTACTTGTGTGCACACAATATTTGTTGTTTTTCCATTCTCTGCATAGATATCAAGGATATGTGGTTTGCCGACACATGAACACGCAACATCTGAGAAGCAATCCGCATCTAAAACTAAGCTATTCTTTTCCAAAGTTCGACCTGGAGCATTACGGATTGTGATTCCTAATGTCAATCGAATTGGGAATTGTAATCTTTTAAATTGAAATGGTGTATCGGTCGGAATTATGGGAATTCTTCGCCTTTGAAAGGCCACGTTCTTTACTTACATTACTTTCTTCATCAATTTCTTAACTGCGAGCTGCTTGCCGTTGACATCAATAAATCTAAAGGCTGGTTAGATGGTGAACAAATAATGATCGAACGAATTTTCACTTGGTATTATGACGCTCATTCGATGAAGAATATCATTGTTGTGGACTTCGCTCATTTAGGTGGTAGTTAGAAGTATACTATTGTACTTCTCACCACTAAGTTATAAAAACATGGTAAAAATGGGTACAACGGAGTTCAGGTCGATGATTCGTCATATGAAAAGGGCTGGCTTATTAAAAACTTCCGACTTTCTAAAGGGGTGTTTGTAGACCTTCCGTCCGCTACACAAAAACCTGCTGCAGCAATTCTCCCGAGCCAAATCTTATATATAAAAATAAGTGCACGTTTTTAGTGTGACCTCATAACTGGAGAACGGCTTCACCGAATCCAACCAAATTTATGTGGCATATTCATGCAGATGGTTTATTTGAAGTTTGCCCGAATTCGTAAAAGGGGGTGTGGCACCTCCCATACTAACTAAAATTTTTATATTGTATATCTCTTGAAATATTTGTGGTAGAGTACTGAAAATTGGTATAGAGGTATATCAAATAATTCCATACTCATGGAGGATAATGGGCGGTATTGGAAAAGAGGGCGTGGCACCTCCCATCTTATATATAAAAAATAAGTGCAAGATTTCAACCAATATTTATACGGCATAGTTGGGCTATTATGCAGATGGTTTGTGTTAAGTTTCCTCGAATTCGGAAAAGGGGGCGTGGCACCATCCATACTAACAAAAATTTTCATCTCGTATATCTCTTGAAATATTTGTGGTAGATTACTGAAAATTGGTATAGAGACATATGAAATAATTCCATACTCATGTAGAAAAGTGTGCGGTATTGGAAAAGGGGGCGTGGCACCTCCCATCTTAAATAAAACAAGTAAGAAAGTCTAAGTTCGGGCGGAGCCGAACATTAAATACCCGGCGCAAGTATAAAATATATGTTTTTTCACCGTCTGTCCGTCTGTGCACACGATAACTCGAGTAAAAATTGAGATATCTGAACGAAACTTGGTACGTGAACTTCTTTTGGGCGTGGGACGGATGGGCGAAATCGGATAATAACCACGCCTACCTCTCATATAACGGTAATTTTCAGAAAAACGAAAACTGCAATATTTTAGTAACTACTGAAGATAATTCACTCAAAATTGATATTTGCAATGAGTTTTAGACGAAAAATAAGAATATTAC